GCAGTAATTACCAAATGAAAGTAATCATTGGACAATCATGAGTAAGACACAAAGAATATTAAGGGTAAACAAAATAGATTTCAGGACTAATTCTCAAGGGTGCCACACAGCATGCATTTCTTAAAGTACAGTATAACTTTACATTTGTTGCGGTAAAAGATAAATTCAGTTAATAAATGATTCATCCCCATATATTAGGTTTTTTTAAGGTTTTATTAGGATTTGTATGCCGCCCACTCCCTAGGGACTCAGGGCGGCTTACAGAAAATAAGGGGGGGACATATAAAAATTAAAAAATCAAACATTAAAATTCCACAACATACATGCAGCTTGGAGTGGGGCTGGATAACTCAACAGCCCCAGGCCTGCCAGAACAGCCAGGTCTTAATTGCTTTGCGGAAGGCTGGAAGAGTAGTAAGGGTCCGGATCTCCACGGGGAGATCATTCCATAGGGCCGGAGCAGCTACAGAGAAGGCCCTCCCCGGGGAGTCGCCAGCCAACATTGACTGGCAGATGGAATCCGGAGGAGGCCTAATCTGTGAGATCTTATTGGTCTCTGGGAGGTAAATGGCAGGAGGCGTTCTCTCAGGTAGCCAGGTCCTATTATTATATTATTTTAGATAAATCTAGTTATAGTATGCAAAGCAAAACATACCTATAAGTCAGAGGTGGGTTCCTACCGGTTTGCACTGGTTTGGTAGAACTGGTTGGTCAAGTCTACCGAACAGGTGAGAGGAGGTTCCACTGGTGGACCCGGAAGTAAGTTCCAGAACGCCTGCCCTGGGCCTGTCGCTCGCTCACGCCCGTCCGGAAGCCGCTCCATTGCTTGCTCCCCCTGCCCGTCTGCACTATCCTAGCCCCGCCCACCCTTCACTGATTGGCTATCTCACCAATCTCTCTGCCCGCCTCTAAGAACCCTGTCTAAACCCACTTACCTTTTTTCCTGTTTGGCTCTCTATTGCTGCCTGCCAGGTCCGAGGAGGTAAGCTGCAACTAAGCATGGGGCGGGAGGTGGCTGCTGCAGCCCTACACTATAAGCGAGTCCGGTGACCTTTTGCGGTCTTGCAAGGATCCCGGGCTCACTTATAGCACATGGCCGCCAGAAAGCGCGGGGGTGAGGACGGCGGTGGGAGCTTACGCGGTATGGCTGGCGTCTTTGACAAGTTTGGGGACCTCGCAAGGCCTTTGCAAGGTCCCAGGACTTGCCTGACTTGTGTGTGTGGGGAGGGTGGAGCAGTTCCGCTCTGAATGGAGGGAAAGGAAAAAGTTCGGGGACCTTGCAAGGCCTCGGCATTTTTTGCATCAGAGCGTGCAGCAAGAGAGAAGGAGTAAAGACCTTTTCCGGATTGTTGGTAGCAGAGGTGCGGGCCCATGCTCACTAAAGCAAGTCCTGGGAAGTCCTTTGCGCCAGCCGGAAAAGGTCTTCACTCACCCCCTCTTGTAGCATGCCCCGATGCGAAAAATGGCGAGATCAGCACACTTTGGGCTGCTGCTGCGATGTCCAAGGAGGCTAAACCAAGCCGCGCGCCCCTCCCGACTGCTTTCGCGGCTTCCCAGAACACCAAGAATATCCACGCTCTCTGCACTCCTCTGCTCCTCGCGATGGCAATAGACGTCCAGAAGTGGCGGGGGCTGGAAACCCAAGCCCCCATTAGCCCCAAAAGCCCATTCTGGACATCTATTGCAGTCGTGAGGAGCCAAGGAGAGCGCGGATAAGAGCACAAAGGTTAGGGTTACTGGGCAACGTTTGTGTGTGTGTGTGTGTGGGAGGCTAGAGCAGTTCCGCTCTGAATGGAGGGAGAGGAAAAAAGTTGGGATTGTCCCCCTGCAGCCTTTAAATGGCAGAGAGAAGCCGAACTCCGCCACCCCCATTCACAGAGGAGCTATTGCTCCCTTTATGTCCCCCCGGCCCGCTCTCTCCCAGGAGTAAAAGCACCTGAAAGGGACAGGCAGGCTGCCACAGCTCCACTGAGAAGACATTTCTGAGAAGAGAAACTTCTCCGGTCTGGCTGCACCCGAGCTGGTGGAGCGCCTGCAACCACCAGCCCATCGCCAGGGAGACAGCTAGTGCAGGTGAGCCGCGTGGTTGCTCTGATCGCACGGGCACTCCACCAGCTCGGTGCAGCTGGACCAAGAAGTTTCTCTTCTCAGAAATGTCTTCTCAGTAAAGCTGTGGCAGCCTGCCTGTCCCATTCAGATGCTTCGACCCCCAGGAGGGAGAGGGCCAGGGGGAGCATAAAGGGAGCTGCAGCTCCTCTGTAAATGGAGGGAGAGGAAAAAAGTTGGCATTCTCCCTTCTGCAGCCTTTTAATGTTAGAGAGAAGCCAAACTGCCCCCCTTCACAGAGGAGTTGCTTCTCCCTTTATGTGGATGTGTGATATTTTGCAAGGACTGGGAAATCTCTCATGCAGTCTCTGAACAAGAAAAATGCATTTGCATGTTAATGGG